CTTTATATAATGAGAAACTCAGGATCTGCTCTAATATCATCATCACACAAATTGCCATTCATAAACAGCATCTTGAGGATGGATAATAAAACAAGGCCTGCAAGCTGTTTTCCCGGAGACAAGGTGCGGAATGTGTGATGTCGTCGTCGGAATGGCAGGGAAGGAAGTCTCCGAGTAAGAACTGGAAGAAGACTACCTTTCTTCAGGAACACAGCCTGCAGCCCAGCGTTGTGCCAGGCTTTTCAGCTCTTCAAATTGCCAATTCTTTGCAAAGGAAATGAAAGCCCAGAAACATCACCATTTCATAACTGTTACAATAATAGATTCAACCGAACATTACCAATAGATGCTAAGTCTACTGAGTGAAATGTTTAAAAGACACAGACAGTTGCCGATCTTAAAATATCACTAAATTGAGTATTTATTAACTACAATAGGAAAATGGATAAATCTATTGGCCATAACTTTAACCAAAAAATTAAACTCACTATCACTTGTAATAAAACAAACTTATTTTATGTACTCTGTGATGTATTTCACTGACACAATACTATAACTGTGAAATATTCCTGCCAAAAGTGTTTAACCTGAGTCTAATCCACAGATAAATCCACAATGAGAGAAATTTTACAAAGTCACTAGCCCAGAATCTTTAAAAAATATCAACATAAAAACAAGACCATTTTTTTAAATGTAGGGGACTCTTTCCGATTAAAGGAGACTCAAAGTTATAACAAAAAAGTGCAATACATAATGATCAGTTACATGTAACAACCAATTAAATTTGCATGTGGACTATAAGTTTGTGCCAATTATCTAATTATTGCCTCTCTTAGCTCAACACCAGACTTTTAAGTCTAATTTGCATACCAGAGCTAAATCTTGTAAACAGTATCTCTTGCAGCTGGAGTGAAGAGGCTTTACCGATAGGGGGCAGTGGAAGGGCTTACAGGCTAGGGTAAAGGGTTTCCCATCCTGTTCCTTTCTGATTGTTTTCTCCTTCCTCCGGCAGAAGTGCTGCCGGCTGGTGTGCGTGGAACCGACTGGTCTTGCACCCCAGTCAGGTCCCTGCTCAGACACTGCACAATCTCTGTTTGACCTCCATCCAATTTCTCTAGCATCTGGCCGGTGGCTGCTTATGGGCCATCTACTGAGACACAGACACACCCTCTCCCAAAGGGTTTTACCCTTCTTTGGAGGAGAGCAAGCTCCCCCACATTTGTTCCTTTTTTGGGTACTTTCTCTCATCTCTAAAAGCTGTGGCTGCTCTCCACATTTGCTATTCCTGTATTGTTTGGAGCAGGGCCGACGAGCTTTCTCTGTAAATGGCTAGATAGTAAATAATGTAGGCTTCGGGAGCATAAGGTCTCTGTCACGACTACTCAGTTCTGGTTTTGCTGAAAAATAAGTAAAAAATATCAATAGACCGCTTAAAGAGCTTGAAAGACGCAGAGGTAAACGGAGTGACAGCATCTCGGAAGCTGGGAAGGGCCCACACTAAAAATAGTCACCTTTGACCTGCTGCCTGGTTTTAGCAGTCTGAAACCAGAAGGTGGCAGCAGAGAGCTATGCTACTGAAAGGCTCCTAGGACAAAGGATCCCTGAAAAGCAAAGTACGGAAGAGTGAGCGTTGTGTCCAGAAACTCACATTCCAGAGAAAAAGGGAGTACACACTCAATGCCAATAGATTAAGATTAGAATTGGGGCAGTAGCATCAGTTTGTGTTCCGGGGACAGAAGGGCCACTAAGAAAAAAGTTAGATGACTCATTATTATCTAAGCTCTGAGACCAGAAGGAGAGAAAAACAGATTTTAAAATTCAGAGTTAAAAATCACAAAACAAAATTCTGAACAGTCATTGTGCAAATGACTGTTGAGCTGGACTAAATTAGTGGGGCAGGGCAGCCCTGCCTGTGCATTGTTAGGCCACTTTATTGGTGGCCAGGCCCCTAACAGAAAGTCAGTGCCAGCCCAACCTGGTGCTTAAAAAACAAAGCAAAAGAAAAAAAATATATAACAACACCAGGGCACTATTTATCTTTGTTTTTAAATGAGGGTTTTGTACGTATTTTCTAAAAGAACTTTAAAATTACAAAACATAAAATAAACTGAGTCCCCAAACCCAGAGATATTTATTCATTATGCCTTTTTAGTGTATTCCTTTTTTTTTGGTCCAGAGGTTAAGGTTGTTATCTTTGGTAAATTCATCCCAGTAAGATCTTTCTCAGCCACTAAAAAAGCAGAAGGCCCATTAACTATTTTAAATTCAGAACTGAATCAATTTATAACTTATTCTTATACTCATACTTAACTGTTCTGTTACTGAGAAACTTGTGTATTTAAATTTTCCCACTCTATGTTAACTATATTCATGCTTTCCATAAACACTAAGTACCTATATTCTAAAGATATAACATGTTATTTTTTTCTAGCTTTAAAAATGACCCTTAAACATCAAAACAAATTTAAAGGACAAGAAAAACCATACAATGTCTGCTGTCAGATCACAGTAGAATTAAACTAGAAATCAGTAACATAAAGATAACTGCAAAAAAATACCAAAATATGTGGATTAAACAACATATTTCTAAGTAACACATGTTCAAGTAATAAATCTCAAAATTTATGGATTTATTTCTATTAGGTCTAGTACTATTATTTTAATCTGGAACCAGAGTGGCCTGACGTTCTACTTTTCCACCAAAATTCCAACATGTTGAAGCAAACCCCTCCCTCCAAATTCCTGCAGCTTGCAGAGAAACCTATTGAAGTGTTGAGAGGTATTTAGTATCTGATGAAAGCTTTCAACATTTTTTTGTCACAATATCACATTCCTCAGACAACACTGGATGAGTTTCTGTTCATTCCATCAACAACATAACTGAATACATATTACACTTTTATTGACTTATCTCCCATAATTATCCTGGGACTTAGATAAGCTTGTCTTTTCTAAATAGGTCAGTTATTGGAATTGAAGATATTTTAAAATTGGGATAAGTCATCTTTAACAGTTGGAAAATTCCAGAAACTTCTAGATGTCTTGATTGTTCAAAATGACTTCCAATTTGTGGCTGCCTAAAAGTTACTGGGCATTTTACATATGCAGTAATTTGAAAAAACACAATTCAGAAATTCTTCCTCGAAGGCTTCACAAGGTTATTTCTGAGCTCGTTCACAGGTGGCATTGCTACACTTAACTTCTAGAAGACATGGATCAACAATACAGAAAATTGTCTATAAGAAAAAAAAACAATGTCCAGACTGGAAAAATTATACAGATTTTCATTAATTAGTCAATGTAAAACAGCAGGGTCATTACAAAGGCAGAAACTACACACTCTAATTATTATAAACCTGAATTAACTAAAGACAACTGAGAAATTTATTTTTAATTCATTACCACTCATGTGTACCTCATAGAAATTTAATGCCCTACATATTCAGCTCACAGATTTGCAGAAGTGTTTAGCAATGGGAAATATTTCCCACATGGAGCAATTTCTTTCTGTTGCTTCTTTCCTGCTATCTCACGTTTACCATAGGGCAGGAAAAGGACCTGATGAACAACTTCTTCAACTTTGCTTTAATGAAGCCAGGGGACACATTGCTTTGGGTTGGCAAAGCAAGTACAGCGGAATCAAAGCAAATTTGCACTTATCCTACAAACTGTATTTTATGGCAACAGAAAAATTTAGAAAAAAGTAAACAATTTAATGAGACAGCATTCTTAATAAGTGAGGGTCTCAGGTTAGTGAAGCAATATGTCTGAAGAACTAGAGGTAGCTTGCAATGACTATGAGAAAATATGTGAATGATATCAAGGGTTTCCTGGCAATTGAAAAAAATTAAAGCACATTATTGAGCAGCTAAATGATGTTGTCTTCATTGATAGCCTCAATAAAAATATTAATTGATGGTCACAGACAAACATATATTAATGAAAAATTCAAGAAAATTATAAACGTCTATAGTATATATCCTAAGGCATATATATATATATAAATATATATATATATATATTCATATGCTTTATAATTTTAAAATAACCTTGAGGTTAATCTTTATATTATGTCTATCATACTAATTTTAGAACATATAAGATATAACAAACCCACTGAAAAACCCATGAGAAAGAACAAAGGCATGATACACCAAGTCAGCTGCACAGCTGGACTGCATGTGGGAATAAAACCCCAGTCTCTCAGAACAGAAACATTTACTGGCAGACAATCTACATGTTCTAAATTTAGATAGCACACTAAAAAGTCTTCACCAAAGATAGTGCTTTGACAGGACTTGGACATAGAATATGGATTCTCTATTTTACAAATGATTGCATGATCATTAAGTCTTTAGTAAGGAAATACCAAGATGAAAGAAGTGTGGGTGTGATGTGTGTGTACAGCAGTAGTCCCCGTGTGTGGTAAGATGGAGCTGACTTTGCTAATCTCTCTGCCAAATGGCCGGGAGTGGCTGTTCATCATATCTGCAGTGAGGAATGTGTTTGAGGCCTATCGGCTGTTGTTTCTGCAGACTGTGGCCTCCTAATTCCTTGTACTGACTCCCTGGTGTTCTGGAATCCAGTAACTTGTGGGCCTGATGCACGTCCTCCTTTTTCTTATATTAGAAAGGATACAGGGGTGTTTCCTATAACCCCCCTCCCTTTTACCATAGCAGGAATATTATGTATTAGATGTGTAGGATGAGGCTGCACCAAGCACCAGTACTCCGGTGATCCAGATGGTTTGGGGTTGGTAATAGTGAAGAGCAGACACAATGTTGATGAGCTACATTCGGCCCCAATCCTCTTCTGTTTAGGCAGGGGCTCTGTTGAGAAGTGATTTTTCTTTTGATTTTTCTTCTGATTTTTCAGAAGCCATGATTTTTTAAAAAAGACTACTATAGCTTAAGTTAAAATCTATTATCATTAATATTAAATCAATAAAATTTGGGTTTATCACTGTTTTTCACAACTAAGAAGAATGCAGAGATACAAACCTTGAATTTTCTTCTCACTTCTGCTATTTGCTCTTCTAATTCCTCTGTTTTAAATTTGGTTAGGTGGAAAACAGCACCAATCTGATAAGCTTCCTTGTATAGTTTTCTAAGATACTCATCATTTTTTAACTTCATTTTCAGCAAAGATTGGATTTCACATTCAAACTCTGATTTTTTCCTTATACTGGAAAAATAAATGTAAAATATTGATGAGATTATTCCAAAAGAGTATATATTGAGACAAATATATTTAAAAATAGTAAAAATGGGGTTTTTTTTGCCTTGCAAAATACAAAATAACCAGATAATTCACTAAAACTCAAATACAGAAAGTATTTCCCAGAATTCCACTTCCTTTTCTGCTGCTGTCAGGCACCCCTGAGGGCCAGGCCGCACTTCATCTCAGAAGGAGAAGCCCGTCAGTGAGAAAGCCCCGGGCTCTCTGCCGCTTGCTCAGCTCTGCGAGCATTCACTCCCTGCTGTAGCAGTCCATCCTTTACAGCCCTGTGTAGCAACACTAAGGATAACCAAATACAAGAAAAATCCAGTCCATGTAAAAAAAAAGCAGAAGAAAACCAGTAACTAAAACAAAACTCTCAGGAAGATAACCAACAGTTAAGGGGGAAGAGTTCATAGAGGGGAGAAAAAATAAGACATTTATATCAGTATAAGATTTTCAAAGACTCAGAGAAATAATAGTCTCTAAGGAGAATCAACAAATCATATTTCCTGTCCAGATTGGGTACCATCTTTGTTCCAAATATATACCACTGATGCATACAATATATAAAAAAGAAATATATATTACACAGAACTACACTCACAAATGAAATGACCATCTATGTGGGATAGAAATGGAGCTTGAAAGCAAAACAGGAGTGGGGCATGAAACTGGCTGCAGGTATTCCACCTGAGGGCTGACCAGGGCCAGGTTCACGGCCCCCTGGCAGGGGTTTGAGTAGATTGTACTTGTTGAGAAAAAAAGCAACTCACTGACAGGACCTATGGGCTTATAAAAGCTAGGAGCTGGGGCACTGGAAGGAAAAGCCCAAAATCAAGAACTCAACCAATGAGTAATGAATTAATCAAAAAGGAAAATTTTAAATAAATCTTGAAATAAATGAAAATGGAAACATAACATAACAAAATATTCAATGCAACAAAAGTAGTTCTAAGGGGAAAATTTATAATGATAAATGTCTACATTAAAAAAAATAATAAAGATCTCAAATAAACCACCCTCACTTTACATGTCAAAGAAATGAAGCCCAAAGTTAGGAGTTGAAAAGAAATAACATCAAGAGAAAAAACAAGTGAAAAACAAACAAAAAAACAATAGAAAATATGAACAGACCAATGAGTAAGGAAATTCAATCAGGAATCAAAAATTTTCAATGAAAAAAAGCCCATAATCTGATGGCTTTACTAGTATATCCCATGCAACATTTAAAGAATTAACACCAATCTTGTTCAAACTCCTTCAAAAAGTTGAACAAGGAGGAGACACTCCCAAACTCATAAAGTCAGCATTATCCTTAATATTGAAGCCACGCAAGGACATTACAAGAACAGAAAATTACAGGCCAATATCCCTGATGAACAATATAAAAAAATCTTAAACAAAGTCATAGCAATAAGAATCCAACAGCACAATAAAAGGAGTATATACCCTGATCATGTGGGATTTATTCTTGGGATGAAAGAATGTGTCAAATATGCAAATCAATAAATGCAATACATCACTTTAATAGAATTAAGGATAAAAATCATATTCTCACCTCAGATGCAGAAAAAGTATTTGACAAAATTCAACATCTATTTATGATGAAAAAACTCTCAATAAAGTATATATAGAGGGAATGTACCTTGATATAATAAAGGCCATATATGACAAGCCCACAGTTAACATTATACTCAATGGTGAAAAACCAAAGGATTTTTAAGTAACATCAGGAACATGGCAAGGGTGCCCACGCTCACCATTTCAACACAGTACTGAAAGTATTAGCCAGAGCATTTAGGGAAGAAAAAAAAGTAAAAGGTATCCAAATCATAAAGAAATCATTAAAATTTTCTGTTTGTAGATTACATATTACATGTAGAAAAACCTAAAATGCCATCCTAAAACTGTTATAATTAATAAATTAATTCTGTAAAGCTGTAGGTTACAAAATTACTATACAAAAATCAGTTGCATTTTTATACATTTACAATGAACTAGGTGAAGAAGAAATAAAACAATCCCATTTACAATATTAAAAATAAAACACTTAAGAATCAATTTAAAGAGGTGAAATATCTGTATACTGACAACTATGAGACATTGAATAAAAAAATTCAGGAAGACAAATAAATTAAAAGATATTCTATGTTTATGAATTAGAATAATTTATAATTTTTAAATATCCATATTACCTTAAATGTTCTATAGATATTCAATGCAATCTCTATCAAAATTCCAATGGAATTTTTTTATAGATAGTAAAAATCCTAACATTTGTATAGGACCATAAAATACCTCACATAGTCAAAGCAATCTTGAGAAAGAAGAACAAAACTGGAGATATCACACTTCCTCATTTCAAACCATATGACAAAGCTATAGTAATCAAAACAGTATGGTACAGATATAAAAACAAACACATAAAGAAACAATCAAGAGACCACAAATAAACCCAAATATATACAGTCAACTGACCTTTTGACAAAGGTACCAACAATATACAATGGGAAAAGGATTATCTCTTCAATAAATAGTATTGGGAAAAATGGATAGCCACATGCAAAAGAATAAAACGAGACCCCTATTTTATACTACACACATAAATTAACTTGAAATAGACTATATGCTTAAATGCAAAAACTAAACCTAAAGCTTGTAAAACATAGAGAAAATAATATCCTTGACATCAGTCTTGGCAATTAATTTTTGCATATGCCACCAAAAGTACAAAAACAAACATAAAAATCAAAAAGTTAGACAATATTAAACTAAAAAGCTCCTGCACAACAAAGGAAACAATCAATTACTAACTTAAAAGATAACCTACAAAAGGAAGAAAATATTTGTGAACCGTTTATGTAATTAGGGTTCATATCCAAAATATATGGGGGACATAGACAATTCAGTAGGTAAAAGCAAATAGCCCAATTAAAAAAATGGTCAAAGGATCTGAATAGACACTTTTCCAAAGACATAAAATTTGCCAAAAAGTAGTGCATGTAAAGGTGCTCTGCATCACGAATTAGCAAGGAAATGCAAATCAAAATGCAATGAGATATTACCTCTCACCGGTTAGGAAGGTTTTTAACAAAAAGATAAGAGATAGAAAATTTTGGCAAGGATATGAAGAAAAGGGATCAATTATACACTGTTGGTGGGAACGTATATTGGTACAGCCTTTGTGAAACATGGTATAAAGATCCCTCAAAAAATTAAAACTAGAACCATCATCTGATCCAGCAATCCCTCTCTGGGTATATATTTAAAGAACAAAAGTAGTTTCTTGAAGAGAAATCTGCACTTTCATGTTCACTGCAGCATCGTTTATATTAGCGAAGAGAGGGGAACAACCTGTGTTGGTCAGTAGGCAAATGGATAAATAAAATATCTATACCTTTATCTATATCTGTCATCTATATCTATACCTATACCTATATCTTATTTGGGCATTAGAGAGAAGGCAATCTGCCATTTCCAACAAGATGGATGAACCTAGAGGACATTATGCCAAGTGCAATAAGCCAGACACGAAAGATAAATGCTGTATCATCTGATTTATAAAAAATTTATAGAAAGTGAGAGGAGAAGGGTGGTTACCAAGGGCTGAGAGGTGGTGGAAATGAGGGAGATAGTGGTGAAAGGTACAAGCCTTTAGTTATAAGATTAGAGCTCTGAGGTTCTAATGTGCAGGATGGTGACTATAGTTAATAATACGGTGTTACTTGAAATTTGTTAAGGCTAGAGACCTTAACCAAAATCACCACAAAAGAAAAAACAAAGTGCCCTGGCTAGTGTGGCTCAGTGGATTGAGCGGCAGTCTGAGGACTCTGAATTGAGTGGATTGATAGGGCACTGATTTGATTCCCAGTCAGGGCACATGCCTGGATTGTGGGCCAGGTCCCCAGTAGGGGGCGCATGAGAGGCAACCATACATTGATGTTTTTCCCTTCTTCCTCTCTTCCCCTCTCTCTAAAAGTAAATAAATAAAATCTTTTTTAAAAAAGTAACTGCAAAGTATGATCATTATTTCATAAAGTAGACATTTGTCAAATTATTCATTTTACACTTTAAATATAGTTTTGCCTCAATAAACTTGAAAAATATTAAAGAAAAGAATAAAGAGGGGGTATATGCAACAAAATTATATCTGTACAATTTCCAGCACTGAAAACCAACATGGGTCATTAAATTGAAAAGCCCTAATGAGCGCTAAACTGGATATATATAGCGCACAGAGAAACACATACCTCTAGACATGCAATGGTGAAATTTCAGGGCTGTGAAATAGGAAGAGAAAAATCTAAAGTTCCTGGACTGTAAAAACAGATTACCTGCAAAAAAATGATACCTAAATGCCATCAGATGTATTACCAAGCAAACTAAATGAAAGATGGATGCTTAGAGATCTAATGTACAACATGACGACAGTTACCAATATTGTATCAAATACTAGAAATGTGCTAAGAGAGTACATGTCAGGTGCTCTCCTCACACACAGAAACAGCAGCTATGTGAAGAGATATACCAATCATTTCACTGTTTATATTAAACCATCATGATGTACAGCTCAAGCATTACATACAATTTAAAAAAAAACTAAATGAAAGAAAATAAGAAAAATATTTTCAAATTAATTAGAAAAAATTGACTTTGGATCTAGAATATGATACTTTGATGAAGTCCTTGTTTGAATGGGTTGAATAGAAAATGAAGTGCATGGATACCAAAGTATTTACTAAAATAAGATTTATGATAAAGACTAGAAAGGCAGAGCTGGGATGCAGGGCTCTGTTTTATCTTGTGTTTGCTCCATTTCTAAGGTGAGCAATATTTGCAACGTCCATACGCAGTGGAAGCAGAGAAAAATAATAACAATTCATGAGGAAGAACAGATCATTGTAGGTGCAAAGCGTCTGGGTGTGTAAGAGAGAATGATGTCCACTGGGCAAGTGCGTGGGTAA